GTAAGAACCGGTGGTTCTACCGGGTCTAACCGGGGACCGTACCGCAAGGAACCGAAATTTTTCGGCTCGGTTCCAGGTCCTCCCAAACCGGCACCGGAACCGGCGGTTCGGAACCGGGACCCGGACCGGACCGAACCGTGGTCAGGTCTAAATATAGGGATCCTGATATGCCACCAATTATCCGTTTCCTTTTTTTTTTTTTTTCTCTTTGATTTTGGCACTTTGAAAAAGGAAACCAACGACATCATGTCGTGTTGGGAAAAAATCAAACTGCTAAAATAAAATGGAAAAGGAAAGTGTTGACCCCAAAAAAAAAAGAAAAAGAAAACCATACTAAATTAACTTAATTTGGACACAATTTTTTTTTCTTTTTTTTTTTTTTAAATAACATAGTGAATTACGATGATGAAAGCAAAATGTGAGAAGACGTATAAAATGGTCAGAACAAAACAAATTGGTGTTATAATTTATATATATTTAAAAAAAAAAAAAAAAAAAAAAAAGCTTCACGGATCATCATCAATATTATGGACCTGGTTAAATGAAACATTATTTTATATACAACTCCTAAATTTTATAGATCATCATCAATATTATAACAAAATTTGTAGATATTTATTACTCCTAATTATTATTATTATTTTTTTTTTTTATCTCAAAAACAAAAAAAGTTATCAATTTTTTTTACTATTTTATCCTTATTGTTTTCTATTATTTTTTTACTATTTTATCCTCATCGTTTTCTATTATTTTATTACTCCTAATTATTATTATTTTTTCTTTATCTCAAAAAAAAAAAATCAAGTTTTTTTTTTACTATTTTATCCTTATTGTTACTATTTTTTTCTTATTGTTTTCTATTATTTTGGAGAGGGGATGTGCCTAAATTAATTAAGATATGGGCGATTGGAACTAAACCTTGCACTTCTTTTCACTGTTTGTGAGACGCAAATATCGAACCCAGGATCTGTTCATACATGAAGAAGCTCTTTGCCACCTCAACCACTAGCCATTTCAATTAATTTACATATAACAGTAAAATTTATTTTTGAAATCAAGGGTGTGCGGCTGCACACCCTATAGCATAGTCAGATCCGTCGCTGGTTATATATGAGAAATATTACAAACAAATCATTGTATTAAATAGTTCAAGAATATAAATAATTCACAAATCAAGATATATAGTTCACTTTATACTTTATAGTACAGACATGCACAAACAATTAGTAAATTAGTTATAGTAAATCATATAATTAATTAAGTAACAATTAAAGCACTACTCGAGCGAAACAAATTTATATATTTATTTATTTATATTTCCCAAAAAAAAAAGGAAAAATTAAATATTTAAGCTTAAATCTTGAGAACGAACTTCACAATGCTCAACACCCCTATTAAGTATTTAAAATTAAATGAAAATATTGCATGCATAATATAATTAATTAGTAAAATTAAGAAATGTAATAAGGTTAAAAGAATAATTGTACCTGGTGGCCGGCACAGATTCTCCGATCGGAACACACCCATGCATATTCTTCGATTTGAGATTTTGACCAATTAAAAATATCTCAAAATTGTATTTCCAAATTATCATTTCTATATATTTTTGCGTATTTAAAAATTTCGAATTGAAGAGATCTACAATTTTCTTTTTTTTTTTTGGTGACGAAATTTATAAGTACTAATTACATATACCTACAGAATTGGATTTACAATGAAAGAAGAAAAAAAAAAAGGGTTTAGGATATTTTTGTTTGTTTCTCGTTCTAATCGCCTAGCTCCTACGAAATAATTATTTTCCAACAATATATTAATGTTTTTTCATTATATATCTATTTAAAAAGGGTGAATTTCATTTTGCACCATATAATTAACCCTAATTGGCACTTTGCACCCCAATATTTTAAAATTGGTAAAGTCCACCCACAAATTATATTTCTCATGACACAATGCACCCCACATCAATTCCTTGTGAGATTTTAACCCAAAAATCGATATATCACTATATATTAACTAACCTTTGAAGGGATTTTCATGCTTGATGGTATATTATAGTTTTTATTTTTTATTTTAAAAAAAAATTGTAAAGCCTTACACCCTCTGTCCCTTATTATATGTTTTTTTGGGGTGTTTTTCTTTTTCCCAAATTATTTTTCATTTTGCAGTTTCAATAGGGTATTAATTGCATTTTTATAATTTTGCCCCTTATCACTCTTAATTAGTAAATTATAAAACAATTAATGACAATGGTACTTTAGTATTTCGTATTTTATTTTTGGTATAACCTATGCATATTTATTGACTATCTTAATATACGGGTAACTATCCAAAACGACATATAACATAGGAAGGAGAGAGTATTTTTATTAATCCATTTAATTTTTATCAACTACGCATTAAAAAAAAGTTTAATAAAGTCCAATAGTTCTCATTCTATTTTTTTAAATATATATTAATTTAATGGAAAATTATGATTTTTTGAAAATTAAAATTGAATTAGAAATTTTATATGCATTTATTAATTCGATACGAAACATATGAAATAAATCGCCACTTATGTTTTTTAAATTTATATACAAGTAAAATAATTAAAATAAATATTAAGTAAGAAAATAAAACATAAAGAAGAATGAAAATTCTTCAAATGTGTAAAATATCATGATATATTATTGAGTTTTGACTAAAATATCACTAGAAATTGAGGGTGCATTTTACCAGGACATATATTTTGTAAGGGTGGATGGACTTTGCCAATTTTTAAATGATAGGGTGCAAAACGCCAAATGCTGTTAATTCCGGGGTGCAAAACGCAATTCACCCTTTAAAAAGGAAGTAAAAAGAAAAAGAAAAAAAAAGCAACGTGTCTGCATGTGTGATTGCCAAGTGTCGACCCCTAATGATAACAAGTGTGAACAAGTGTCATTGCGTTTGTGGTATGCCTATCTGATTAATTCGTAACTGGTCTACATGCATGTATGTAGAATATATATATATATGTTTTTACTTTTTACTTCTATATATAACTGCATCCCTTTTTATTTTCTATTTTTTTTTTGGCCCATTATATCACGATACAACGTCGTTTCGTTTTCCCCTTCCAATTTCCCAGCTTCTTCTTTTCCCTTTATTTTTAATGCAGCCCAATTTTATTGTATTTCTTTTTTTGTCATGTTTAATATGCTGCGGAACGACGTCGTCTCTTCACATCCGAGCGCATTCGTTGATTGCAGCAGCAGATTATTTCTCGGCCGCTATTGTAGACAAATCTAACAGCATTCCTAATTTCAGCGTCCTCATCAAAGCTCTGTGGCGCAACTCTTGGGGGGCAGCCGACCCCCAGAAAAAAGTACATTTTTTTTAATTACTCTTTTACACAATAGTTTAGAAATATGTAATTTTGCTCCCTAAGTTTTTTTTTTTTCTTCTCTATTCTTATTATGAATTTATTTTTTTCTATTTTTTATTACAATTTAAAATAATACTGCTAAAATTTATACTTTTTTAATTAAAAAAAATAAAAATATATACTGATTTTAGAAAGAAAAAAATTGTGAATAGTTCTAAATTTTTTTTGGAGAAGGTGCTATTGAATTTTCGAAAATTTTAACCTACTTTTAAATAAATTAATTCCAAAATAAAAAAATCGACCACATTCAAAGTTGTTTAGCTTAGCCTCTACCGAAGCTGCTGCGTGTAATTCATGCATGGCATACGAATTACAGCAGCAGCTTCTACGTACATTTATACTAGTTTCGAGGTTTCCTGCTATTACTATACGGTTGTCTTTTCGAAATTGTTTTTCTATTTTCCTTTTGTTTTCAGTTTGTTCTTTAGTGTGTTTCTTTAGACTCTAATATTTAAATGGAATTATAAATGTTTGCTGTAGATGGTCCTATCAGTATCACATTCAATAAAACATTATGGTCCCATATTTTTTTTTTAATTAAAAAAATAAAAGTTGATATAATTACAGCAGCAGCTTCTACGTACATTTATACTAGTTTCGAGGTTTCCTGCTATACGGTTGTCTTTTCGAAATTGTTTTTCTATTTTCATTTTTGCTCTTTGGAGTGTTTCATTTGATTCTAAAATTTAAATTGAATTATAAATCTTTGATATGGATGGTCCTATCAATATCACATTCAATAAAACATCATGGTCCCATAATTTTTTTTAATTAAAAAAATAAAATTTAATATAATTGTCTCTATCGATTTTGTAAAAGTATTTATATATAAGAACATTTCTAATTAGATGTTATATACTTGTAAATAATATGGTTAGTGGCAAGTGATTATTCTTATGATTATAATTACTAGATAAAATTTAAATTCAAGATTTAACTATTTAAAGTCATATTTAAATTATCATTAATATTTAGGTGGTGTTTGAAAATACTTATTTAGAAGCAAAAGTTATTGATTGTGAGTTAAGTTGGGATTAAGTTTTCCAAACGGTAGCATGATTTTTAGGACGTTATCAGCTGTCTCCAAAGATCTCTTCTTGTGACACTTATTCCCGTCCCATGTAAGCAGGTCGAGTTCCGAAAAATCGATGTTTTTTAGGGCTTCCAATTCTGGTAAAGAATTGTTATATATTGTTAGATGTACAATTTTTTCCAAGAATTGTCTTTAGCTCAATCGGCAAGAACATATTCATATTTGTTGTTGGTCACGATTCCGACCCTCGGCAACGTGTTATCTCATAAGGGCCTCCGGTACCACTTAATTAGGCTAAGTTAAATATCTATATTTTTTTTCCTGTGTAAATTAGCAGAACTAGTCCCCAACAGATGGTCTCTTCGATATATCGATGTTGTCCGTAATGAAGTTGCATGCGAACTCTGAAAAAAATGCCCGATTTCGATGCATGTGTTTGGTAATAAGCTGATGGATAATCAAGAAATATGAAAAGACAACAAAATTTGCCATACACCTAAGAAAATGGAAAAGTAGGCTTAGAGAAACAAGATTTTAAGCAAACTAGTATATATTCATATTGGGAAAAAGCAACAAAATGTTGTAAAGGTTACAACAACATCAATCAAACACATCAAATGGAAAAAACTAAAGAAACTCAATCTGTAGGGAGATGTGTTCTTGACTTCTCTCATTATCACATCTCTTTTTCACTGTAGGAGAAGAAAGAGGATGAGCACCCGTTTCAATATTCGTCTCTTCGCTCCTTTCTTCATCCATTTCTCAACCTTATTTACCCTTTAAATCCTACTCACAAATCAACACATAACTTCAAAAGTAACTTCAAACTTCAAACTGGATGGTGTCGTCTATATATTATATAATATATATCTGCACAATTTTCTTTATCACAACCCAAAGTAACAAACGGAGTGAAGTGTGATTAATAAACCTCTTTCTCCGGCTTATCAAACGAGATTGTAGCTCGAGACCGACACCTCTGCTGGAGAAGCAGAGTGAATATACACAAACTCGATGCTTTTTCCAGCACCCAAAGAGTTCACCCACGACGGGAAAATGTAGGAATCGCCTGATTTTGTTAGGCCCCATAGAGGACCGTATAGCTTGGAGATGTAAACCTTCAAATTCTTCAAGTTCTTGGATGACTTGTTCGTGATTGTCGTCGAGTATCTGTAGTAAATCTTTCCCTTCTGAACCCACGAAGCTGTCACCTTCTGAGTAACAACAATCGATTTGGTAGACGACGAAACTGCAATTAATTCAATCAATAGTGTCAAAAATTTACATCCACTTGATCAAGATTTCCCTTATAATCGTATACGGTAAATTAAGAAATGTACCTGGAGAGGGTCTCGCCATGGCTTTGCTGCTGGATTTAGATTTGCAGCAAATGGTTTAAGACTAGGTAACTCCACTATAATCAAGAATGACAAAAAAAACATCATCAAATATGTATAATCGGCAAATAAAAATATACGATTTTTTTTTTGTTTTTTTTTTTTTTTTTATCTTCGGAATATTGAACTGACCAGGAAGAAGTTGATTATAGCCACTGTGACCAGCATGGAGTCTGGCTAAAATGCCGAGAAGCGGGGCATTGTTGTACGTAGCAGGCTCCGTTTGCTCATAATTATCTCTTTGATCAGCAAAATTGTCATAAGCATCGGGTCCACCAACAATTGCACCAGTGAGGAGGTTAGGGTCACTGGCCTTTCTGCCAAACCAAGTGGCGTAACCTCCTCTGCAGCTAATAAACGATGGGTCAACTTTATAGGACACAATTGAGGATGCCCTGTGGTGCACTTGTTTCGGGTAATTGTTTCCGTATCCAACCATGTAACTCGTGGCTCGCGGGTTGTCTCCTAGTATGTAGTCAACCTAATTTCCCACAAAAAAAAAAAAACATTTGAGTGAGCTTCAAGGGGTCTTTTTATTTTGTACTTCCAATAACATGTGAATTTAAAAATAAAAAAAATAAAAAAATATTCATTTACCTGAGATTTAGCAAAGGAAAGAAGCTCGGTAGGGGAAACATTGCCGCTAGCACACTTGAGCGACTTGCCTGCGGATGTTAGATAATCGGAGTAGACAGTCATGAGGAAAGAAGCACTGGTAACAAACTGCATGTTGTTCCATCTTTGTCGGAAAATGAGGCCGCCAGGTGTCTTTTGAGCGTTCCGGTTGCCTTTACCCAAGCACGAGCACATGAAAAACTCTGCTTTCTCCTGGTACTTTCCGAACACCTGTGTATAACTTCCACCTTTCCCTGCCATCAAGAACTGCAGAAAACAAACAAAACAATAAATAAATATGCCATTTAGTAGTAACTTGCATAATCTTTTTTAGAAATCTTAAATTTCAAGAATAACAAATCTCAAAACTCAATTCTTGTCTTGACACTTTCGATAAACATATCCAACTTTCTTAGTGCAAAATGATGTTGCAAATTAAGTTTCACATTAAAAATTGGAAAATTGTGTCAAACTTCTAACATTCAAAATCCCAAAAAAATCAATGAATTAAAAACTGTGATCATAATATATATACATGCATATATATATATATATATGTATATATATATATATATATACCTTAGCAACCAGTGTCTGAACACCAGCATACTTAACATCCCAACCAAATTCAGTCATGCCCCAACCAGTTCCACCAAGTGCATCTCCATTCTTCCCTAAGTAATTCAAATAGTACCCATTGTTTGTTGCTTTGTATAGCCATGCAGCTCCCCACAATAATTCATCCTAAAATAATAATAATAATAAATTAGTTAGTTAATTGATTAATTAATTAAAAAATTAGGAAAAACATTTTTAAAAAATCAAAATAAAGTATAGATCTTTAATTTTGAACGTAATTAAGAGAGGGTACAATCACGTACTGCATATCCACTAACAGATCGGTAGTACTTCTGCGCAACAGTTATGCTACTGTCGTATTTGCCCCTGTACTTGTCCGCAAAATCGAAGAGCTGAAAATAATAAAAGAATTATAATAAGGGTAAATTCGACATTAGTGAAAGAGAAGAAATCACGTGCTTCACCGACAACCGTGCACATGCACCGGGCCCACGGTAACCACCGGATCCTTGACAGATTATCTTGTTTAACGGTTGAGATTTGGGGTACGTCAGATTTAAAAATTAGGGTGCCGAACTATACCCGTGATTTACGGCTAAATTTGGGCCCCACCACATGATCCCATTTTATGCGCCGAAATATGTTACCGAAGCCATTTAATGCCACAAATTAAAAATTCTACTTCTATAATTAAATTAACTATAATTTAAACTATTATATAATAGTTAAACTTCTATAAAGTAATATAATTTACATTAGTAAAAAAATATTAATTTTTGTAAAATAATAAATTATGGGATTAATAGTCCAAGATATTGTTACTGCGTGGGACCGAATGAATTAATTTATCGAAGTTTTACTATATTATATTTTGTTTCTGAGATATTAATTATTGTTTTCATATAGTACATAATTATTATGAGCCAAATTTTAAACAAAAATTATTTTGAAACAAGTGGAGAAATCAAACATTCTATTTCAATGGACTAGTCCAAAATTACTCTTTACACGTATTTAGAAAGCTATTAAATAACATTTAGTATGAGAAATAAATTATTACTGTGTTAAAGAAAAAAATAATTGGTAAAAAAATTTAATTAAATATTAAACTGTAAAAAAAATTGTAATTAAAGAAACAGCAAAAAGAACACGAGTATAGTCTTAAATTAATTCCTGTACAGTAGTACCAAATCTATACTAGCATTTAGATCCATTAAATTAATTAAGATTGACATTTTAAATCAGTTTTGCTAGAATGCGCCGCTACAGTTTATATTGACATTGTTTTGGGTTTTGTGAAGATCTGGTCACCGACAACAACCAGCCTGACAAAAAGCTGGGCTAAACTCATTTACGCTAATAACTACGACCATTTCACTAACATGCGCGCTTTAACCGCTATGCTAAAATGCGCATAATAAACAAAACGACAACTCCGATTACGAAACACACACACACAGTCTCTCACTGACCACACACCGCTCAGTAGGGCAGTTACACTGTACCTCTCACACTAAAAATATGGAAGCACAAAATGACAAAATAAATTAGCTAACCTGGTAGGCGTGTTTAAGGAGCTCGGCCGAGTAGGAAGGATTGTAGCGGCGGAAGACGATGGAAGCGGCGGCCATGGCGGCGGCGGTCTCTCCGGCGAGGTCAGATCCAGGGTGGCTGGGGTCGATTCTGTAAGCAGCTCTTGAGGTGGTCATATCCTCCGGCCTCTGCCAGCAGTTGTGATCTGTGTTTCCATCTCCCACCTTCAAAGTCAAACCAAAATCACCATCAGTTTCTTAATTCAGTTAAAGTTTCACTAACAGTGTTAATTTGGTACATAATAATTAATATTTTAATGCTTTTTTGCTACAAAATCAGCCCCAAATTGAAACTACCAAACGCAGTTTGACTGGAAAAAAAAAAGTGTGTGTGTGTGAGAGAGAGAGAGGTGGAAAGAGTAATTACTTCGCCGTAGAGGACGTTAGGTTCAGGGTGAGCTTTGATGAGATAATCAGTGCCCCACTTAACGGCGTCAATGGCGTGGCCGAGTTCGCCGCTGGCGCCCATTTGCTTGCCGTATTCGAGTATGCTCCACGACAGCATAGTAACGGTGAACGCCATCGGCAGTCCGAATTTCACGTTGTCGCCGGCATCGTAATAACCTCCGACTAGATCCACCTGCAAATGAAGAATCAGTTCGAATTCCACACTTTTCCGTTGAGAAAAATACTGTGCGCAAAAAAAAAAAAAAAAAAAAAAGGGAGAAATGCTCTGATAAATTACCCCGTTTAATTTTCCGTCGTTGAGGCCGGAATTACCCCTCCATTGGACTCTCTGGCTACCGGGCAAGTAACCGGATCTCTGAGCTTCGAAGAAGAGAATGCTCTTCGTCAGAGCTTGGCCGTAGTCGTGGCCGGCGAATGCAGGAGGAAGAAGAAAACAGAGCACCAGAAACAGGGGAGCCATTGAAAAACAGAGCCCCACTGATTTCTCCATTTCGTTTTTAAAATGTACAATATACAGATCTGTTTCTACTGTAAATGTGTGTGTGTGTGTGTGTGTGTGTATGTAAAACAATAGCTTAATAATGTGGATTTTTTGAGCTATCAGAAACAATTTCTCTGATAAACTCACCCAGAAAATGTTGGAGAGAGAGAAAGAAGAGAGAGAAATGGGGAATGGGGGTTGAGTGAATGAGAAGAGCTAACGCCGGTATATATGGAGAGAGAGAGGAAGGAAGGTGCCAATACTACAGAGAAAGGGCAGAGATTAATAAATGAAGTTTGTTTATTTATTAATTATTTCTACTATTTGTTTATTTGGATAAATTACACCTACACCCCTAATGTATGCTAAAATAACTTTAAGGTTCATGTAGTATCGGTAACTACAATTACAACCCTGAAATAGGGATCTAACGAACTATTAGTTTCAAGAAGTAGGGTAGACAACATAGAGCTACGGAATGGCATGATTCTCCTAATATCACTAAAATCCTTGTTATTTTATAATCTCTCCGTTCCACAATATCTGTCACTTTTAAGAATTTTTTTTTTCCATATTATCTGTCATTTTAGAATTCCAACACTAAATCAATTACATATTTTTCAATTATGCCCTTATTAACTTTTCAACACTCTCTCTGCATTAATTAATAAATAAGGGTATTTTGGTCTAACAATATCTATTTTCCTAAAATCAAGACATATTTATTAAGTTTCTTAAAATTTGTGCAAATGTGAAAAACGACTATTATTTAGGAAAACAAAGAGTATAAGATTTGTAAATTTCCGTCCATGGTAGGATTAAAGTCCCGCGGGAAAAACAAATTTAGTGCATATTGGTTCCTAGAACATGAAATCTTGGCTCTAGTAATTGTTTCAGGGGTCTGGTTGTAATTACCAATATCATATGGGGTGTAGGTATAATTTACTCTATTTATTTTAAATGAATAAAAATAAAAATAAAAATAAAAATAAAGGAAAAAACACTATTGCTGTATTATTTATGAGGGGGGATGAAAAATGAGCAGAGGCATGTGCTTTTGTTCGGTGCTTTTTTGCTAGGAAGGGTCGGCTTTGTACTTAAGTACATTTTAATCAGAAGAAGAGGTGATTAGTTTAGTTAATGGTGATTATTAAGGGTCATTATTGTAATTATTCTAGA